GTGATCGTCACATATAAGAATGTTCCCTGAAGGAAACCTCATCATAATATACACTCAGGGAATACAATGTCTCATACAGAAAGTGTCTCCAAATCATAGCTTGCTCAACTCAAGCCACACCAAACCCACACTGACAACTACCCTTAGAATACATGTTAGATCTGTCTCTCAAAGGTCAGGGCGTAGGCCACCTAAATATGTACATGCCTCATCTAAACCACCCTGACCCTCAAAACCCGAACTCAGTAGAAACACTAGAGTTCAGATCTAGATTAACAGTAATCATCAAAATGTCTTCTAAGTCTAAGAGAGTATCACACAGAACCTAAGTTGATGCCTCACAAAATGCTCGCTCGCTTATATAGACAAAGTCGGCCCTACCTCCTCAACTCCTCCTGGTTTTGCCTATATAACTGAGCCCTAAGTCCATCTGCGGACTTCTCTACTATCCTACCCTGTCTATCATACATTTTACCCCGTACCTCTTAGATCTTCCCTGCTGCCTTATCCTCAAGAAACTCGAGACAGTCCAAAGCATGATGCGCGCTCCTCTTGCAGTAGAAACATAGTTGATCAACCTTCCTCTTGAACTTCTTCTTCCTGGGCTGAGGAGGTGGTGACGAAGGAGATCCTACCAAGGTACTGATAATCCCCTGCTGCTCTCCTGGAGGAGCTGCAGTACTAACGACTTTCTGCTGCTCTGTCCCCGGAACTGGTCCACCAGACCCAGATCCAGTAGCCCAAAATCCTAGTCTGCCTCTCAAATCCTCTGTTGCTGGAACGTACTCGGGCGTGTCCAACCTCTGAGGCCTCCTCTCGAGTGCCGCCCCTGGCACTGCCGTGGGCTGCTCCTCAATCTCCTCTGGTCCATACTCAGGTGTGCCTATCCTCTGGAGTCTGCCCTCGATGGCACCCTCCTCCTCAATCCCCATCTCTTTCTCAAGAGGCTCCTCTATCCTCTGCTAAGGTGAAAACAAACTCACCTCCTCCTGCATAGTATGCACCGCCTCAAGGAGCACGCCCATGGATCCCTCTGCCGAGGCCTGAGCCGGCTCACTTCTAGATGGTGGCAGCCCCTCCTCTACTGCCAAAGGTACGACTGGGCCTGCCGCCGCCACTGGCAGCGTCGCGAGCTCAGTAGGGGCTCTAAACTCGAACGCCTCTCTCGCTGCCTGTCTCTGGGCTCTCGCCTCCTCTGGCTCCAGGATAACTCTCCCTATAGGTGGCTCCTGGCGAGGCTCTGTCGCAGATGGCTGTCCTGGCAATCCCTGTTCTGGCTGCCTCTGCTCTCCCTGCCGGCTGCTCTCTGGTCTGTCCACCTTTCCCTGGGTTTGCTGCCTCAGACTCTCAATGATAGCTGCCTGGCTGGCCACCAAAGCCCTAAGTTCCTGAATTTCCATCTCCATAGCCTCCAGACGTACTCCATGGCTGGCTTCCTTCATTTTCTTCCCCGCCAGATCGCCCTCCAATAACAAGTGTCGGTCAAAAGTGGTCTTGGCCAGGAACTTGATTTTACGATCTAACCTTTCTTCCGCCTTCCAGGTCATCCCAAACCCGGCTCTGACTGACGATGGAAGCTCCTCTCCTCTCTGCTCCCAGAAGTCTCTCCACATTTCAGGAATCTCCGGGGCCTTGGCTGGCGCGCTGGGTGGCTGACCCGGGAGTGCTCCTGCTGCCTCCGATCTCTGCCTCTCCTGCTGCTGCTCCGGGAGTTCCCCCGCTGCCTCCAACCTCTGCCTCTCCTGCCATATCTCATCTATCCGCCTGATTCGTCTCGCCCTCTTTTCTTCAGCCGTCTCTCCAGCTGACACCCTTTCCCTCGTGCGGAGGTCGACCCTCTTTGGGATTTCTGCTTCCATCTCCTTCTCGGGCTGGCATGACTCCTGGCGTGGCTCTGCAGGTGCTGGCTCCTCCAGGTCTGGGTGCTCCAGGGCATGAGTTGCTAGGTGCCTATCAATCAGGATCAAAGCTTCTCTCCTTACAGCTTCCCTCTCTCTCCTTCTTTCTGCCCTCCCTTCTAGCGAAGGAGCCTTTTCTGACGAAGGCAAAGGGGTCTCCTCTCTCTGCAATCCCTCATTCGCCTGCCGGGTGCTCCCTGGTGCATCCCCGAGTCTCAAACCCACTGCTGGCGTCTGTGGGGGCGTGTCCTCTCCAACCTTTATCACTTCCTTCCCTGCACGTCTCCCCTCATCGCCCAGCCCTCTCTCTCGCTGAGTACCCCGGACCTCTTCCTGTGGTACCTCCTCTCGTGGCACCTCCTCTCCTGACACCTCCTCTGACTGCTCTCCATGCCCCTCACCCTGAAGCGACGCCCTCCACCGAGAAATATCTAAATGCATCTCCAATTCCCTCAAGGGCCCCTCTGACGCTSGTGGCTCCCCCTGTGTGTGTGCTGGCGACCTCCTCAATCCACCCTCAGTAAAACGATGGAACTCCACTGGCCCCAACCCACATTCAGGGTATGCCCCTCGCTCCTCATCCTCTGCCTCCTGCTCTCTCCTGGCTAGGGCCTTCCGTCCTCCTCGAGATGGTCTCGCCTCCCTGGGCTCGGGGTCCCTCGGCCTCTGACTCCTCTGCCGCCTCTCGACTCTGGGCTGAGGGAGCTCTGGCCGTCGAAAGGCCTCTCTCAAATGTGCCCTGCAGCTTTCCCAATCTCGTGCCATGTCCCTGATCTGCATAGCCAGTGGCCTTTCCGCCTTCCTGGTCCAGAGTAGTAGTGTCTGCATCCAATCATCTCTCTGTATGCCCTGCTCTTGCATGAACCACTCAAACGCGGGGATGAAGTCCGACGCATTTCCAATCTCYAGGCGGATCGGCCTGCCATCAGGTCCCACAGGCGAGGGTCGCAATTCCTCCATTCTTATCTCCACCTCCTGCCTCGTCGTCGCCTCCCTACGAATCCTGGCAATGGGCTCYTCGAACCTACCTGCTCCCCTCAATCTCTCAATCGCCTGAGCGACAGTCCAGCCCATACGCCTCGCATGCTCCCTGAAACTGTCCAGGAATAGCTCGATGTCCCCATCATTGTAGACTGGAGTACTCTCTCGATGGCGAGACCCATGCCGCTCATATCCTCCTGATGCGCCCAACGGCCTCTGAGGCGGCCGTGTCCCCTTCCCTCCTCTTGGCATGGCTGTCTTCGTAAAGTCAGACCTGCACAACGGGCGAAGGAGACAACAGGCACACGTTGGGATAAGCAAGCAGGTGATAATCAGAGCAAGCTCAGACCAGACCACACTTATGCAGCATGCATCCTTCCTAACCTACACACCCTGTTACTTCTATTCTAAAGGCGGTCAGGTCATCTCTCTTACCTCTTCTCTCGCTACAAATTTCTTCAGTCGCGTTCCAGATACCCAATCCTTCCACTCAGTCCCATTTAACTCCTCGATCTGGTACGCTCCGAAGTCTCCGACCCGTGCAATTCGGTAG